AGGATTTGGATTTGGAGAATAGGTGGGAGGAGCAGCTTGAGGGTGAGTTCATACCTTTATACTTGGTAGGTAGCTATTGGGACTTAAGGGCTAATTAGTACAGCGCGCTTCTTCTCCATGAACCTTACTGGAACTATGGAGCCGTACGTCGGTCATCTCAACCCGACGCTTACATGCACACCAACCATGAGCGGTGGTATCGGGACACATGCGCTGCGTCGCTTCTATGAACAGCACTTTCTGCGCAAGTTGCCTCCGTCGATGCGTCTGCGGTTGATTTCTCGCACTGTGGGGGCGGATCGTATTGTTGATGAGCTGTATGCCTCGTTTGAACATACTCAGGAAATACCCTGGATGCTGCCGGGTGTTCCGCCGACGAATCGCCGGGTCGAGATTGTGCTAGTTAGCATCGTCAGTCTGCGCGCGGGTAGACTGTACTCGGAACACATGTACTGGGACCAAGCCAGCGTGTTGGTGCAGGTCGGACTCCTGGATCCGAAGTTCATACCGGACGGGACACCACAGGGCGTGGACAGATTACCAGTTGTTGGACGCGAGGCTGCCAGACGCATCGTGGAGGAAGATCCCGAGGCCGAAGGCCGGGATTACCATAACCGGTTGATCCGCCGGGCGAAGGCTAAGCGCGGGAAGGACAAGCCGGTCGAGGAGTCAGGGACGGAGATGGCGAAGAGTGATACAGAGAAGGTAAAGAGTAAGCCGGCTGGAGAGAGTAAGGGGAAGACGGTGCAGAGGGAGCAGAATGGTAATGGAGAGGATGCCTTGGAGAATCATGGAGCGGAGGCGGATGAGAAGGAGAAAGACGCAGAGAAGAATGGCGAGGAAGAGAAGCCGGTTAATCCGGCTGCTGCTACAGTGGAGGACACGAAAAGCGATGAATGAGCGTGTATACCCTGCATAGTATGTTTGAGTGTTTTGTGTGTTTAGCTTGCATTTGGATTTCACCTCTTTGCCAATTTCAATCAATCTCATATCACATCTATAATACCACCTCACTGCTAGTATATAATGAGGGTATACTACCACCCCTTCCAAGGAACCCACGTCTCCCTAACCACATCCTCCTCATCAACAACATAATACACGAAATGCTGCGCGGCCGTAATACACGCATGCTGACAATGCAACATGACCTTCTGTCCGACGTGAAACACATCCTCCACTTTCTTCCCTTCCCCATCCCCCGCTCCTCCAGACAATAACCCCAAAATACCATGCTCCTGCGACATCCTCACCACCCCCCACTCAGGCCTCTCAACTAGCCTCCCAAACCCCGGCACCGCGCTCGTCTCCTTCGACAGCGCCACCGTCCCGGCATTGATCAGCGCCTCGTTGCGACGCGGATACACGCTGCATACTTCGGCCAGCACGCGGACAGCCAGATCTGCGGGGGTGATTAGATCGGTGCTGAGTTGTTGGAGGTCATTTGTTGGGTAGTTTCCTATACCGGTATTATTAGCTTCGCATTGTAATAGAGGATAGAATAACATACCAGCATGAACCTCCACATCGACATCCACATCACCATTCACATTCCCCTCTTCGGCTAACAAATGCTTAACCTGCCGAACAACATGCGCTGTAGGCGTTGATCCAATCGAAACGACCACCTTCCTCTTCTTCCCACCACGGTTCTTAATCAGCTTAACACCCCGCAACACACCCGAAACTTCACTCCCCAACGCCCTCCCCGCCTCTTCCTCCCCCTTGGCAGAATACGAATGTCCCGCGTGGCAGTAGAACCCATACAATTCCACCGCGCTACTTTCCTCCACAGCGCGCACTAACTCCTCCAATTCGGGCCCAGAGTCAGGGGAGTACACGTCTACGCCTGCGCGGCGCGATCCGACATCTAGCTTGATGAAGACCGGCCAGGGAGAAATACCATCTGAGATGGAGTTGTTGAATGATTCGATGATGGGGATGTGTTGAGGTGAGTCGATCAGTAGGAGGATGTTGAGATTCGGGTGGGATTTGCGCATGGAGTGGAGATGGGGTAGGGCGGAGGGGTAGATTGGGAGGCCGTAGAGGGCCTTTGTTTTATTTTGGTTGTTGGGTTAGATTGTGGGTTGGAGATGGGGATTGGGGACGGGGTAGGGTATACCTCGTCGAGGATTCCCTCCTCTGCTAAGGGGAGCACGCCGCGGAGTTCGCTGAGGGTGGAGACGATGAGGCCGCGGTGGAGGCCGTTGGAGAGCATGAGGCGGGTTATTTCGAGGGTCTGTTTGGGTCATATGAGTTTGTGATGCTTAGGTATAAGAGGGAATGGTGGGACACCTTTAATGTCTTTACATGGGGACGGAATGATAATCCCAGCTCTTGTACATCTTGTTGTAGTCGGTTAATGTTTCTCTCCAGCACGGGTTTGCTGAGGACTAGAGATGGGGTTGGGAGGTCGCGGACTGGACGACCAATGAAGGATGTGTGGGATTGGAGGGAGAAGTCCATTTCGACAGTACACTCTGTGGTGGTATATTCGGGAATTGGGCGCAATTGAGGGTTCAAGTAGCTAGATGTGGGCTGTCCCTGAATCTTATATAGTTTTGGCTGGAGATGTGGAGGGATGTGGGGCCATCTTATCAACTGCCGATAGAATCGCATTGACTATTAGCTCCGCTTACTAAGGACTACTCTGCTGGCAAAACAAATCAACAGGTAAATAATGGAATTGATCTATACAAAGGTATCTATACAGTCTCGATATAACGCTTAAACTCCCTATAATCAGTCAGCATATTAGTCAATGAAAGTAAGAAGCGAAGGACCTACCAATCCGTAACCGCCTCTCTCCACACCCTCAACTCATGCTCTCTTGTCGCCGTGAAAAAGTCCACAAACTCCGGGTCGAGAATCTCCCTCGCAACACTCTCCTTGTCATTGAATCTCCTCAGCGCCTCCTCCAACGTATTCGGCAGCAACTCCGCCTTGATCTTCTCCGCTTTCTGCACATTGACCGGCGGCACCTTAATATCCAACTTCTTCTCCACGCCCCTCCATCCCGCCGCCAGAATCACACTCAGCGCATAATGCGGGTGAAGGTCCGCGCCAGGGATCCGCACCTCGAACCGCGTCGCTCCCGGCTTACACACGGGCGGCGTGATAATTCTTACCGACGCCATGCGGTCCTCCAATCCCCAGCTGATATTCACCGGCGCCCAGAAGTTCTCCACCAGCCGCTTGTACGAGTTAATAGTAGGTGCGAATAGCGGCATGATGTCCGGAAGCGCTTCCAGCACGCCTGCGAGGAATTGTCGGCCCAGGTCGGACAGTCCGGCTGCGTCGGCCCAGGGGGCATTGGGGTCGGGAGTGTCGCGCGCGAAGAGGTTCTTGCCCTCGAGATCCGTGAGGGAGACGTGGATGTGGCCCGAGCTGCCGGGTTGGCCTTGCATGGGCTTGGCCATGAAGCAGGGCGTGATTCCATGTTCGACACCAATCGATTTGGCGAGGAGTCTGTTCGTTAGCTTGAAATCCAACGCATTTACATCTGTTGTGGGCTTACTTGAATAGAGACACCTTGTCGGCCATGTCGCTAACATCGCATACTTTCAAAGCCTGATTGGGTTAGCTCAGCGCGGTCCGCGCAACTCAATTGAAGCCAACTCACCGCTTCATACACGCCCGGTCCACCCTCAGTGTGCCATCCCTCAATGCCGCAGTTGAACCGCGCGCTGGTATCAAAAATATCATAGAAGTATTTCTTGTATGCCACTGGTCGCGTCGCGCTGTAGGAGAAGCTGCCTGCAGTCAAGGGGCGCAGCGCACCGGGGGCATTCTTATCGAGAAAGGCGGCGATGTCGCGGGTTTGGGAGCCACTGGCGCCGTATCCGTCTTCCGAGGGGGTCTGGAAGTTCATGAACTCCAATTCGACTGCATACGTCAGCTACAATTTCAGCGTCATTTCTTCGTTGAGAATTGACTAACCTCCCGCCATTCCCTTGCAATTATTCGCCGCCAACTTATCGCAAATCGACCGCAACATGCTCCTCCCATCCGCCGAAACCGGCTTATCGTTCTGCACGAACCTCACCAGGAAGAAAGGAATATCATCCTCCCAAGGTATCCGACGGAAGGAGTTCAAATCCGGCACGGCCAGAAAATCCACGTATCCCGAGTCAGCCGGCGCAATGTTCGCCTCGGTGGTGTAGAGCACGTCCTGCATGTCCCACCCGAAGACGGCGGAGCTGAAGCCGAATCCCTTCTGCGCAATGCCTAGGAACTTCTCCTTGGACATGACCTTGCCGCGGAGAATGCCGTCGCAGTCGACGCCGGCGACTTTGACTTTGATGTCATTGGCGAGGAGGTTGGGGAGGTCCTCTGCTGTGATTGTCGTAGCCATTGTGTATATCGTCAAAAATCTAGAATTAAGGGAATGATTGTAATGGAGCGTAGAATGGGGGCATTTCTTGGAATGGTTGCTACTTAAAGGTGCGCTCGGAGGCTGGGTTGGGGGAACTAGTCTAGTGAGTGTCTACGTAGGAGCTGGCTGATCGCCTTGATTGCGACGGCATAGCGGCGCCGTCGGGTCCGGTGGTCGGAAACGTATTTCTATAGTGTAATGTGAAGCTCATGGAATCAATTGGTCTCGAATTCGGGGAATTGACTTGGTATAGACGGCCTGTGTTTGGTTGGGATGACGCGGTTCCGATCGGAGCGCGCTGCGGGGATTGCTGGGACCGCGCTTATCTTATCGCGAGGGTGAGGGGTCACAAGTGAGGTGCGGAATACTTGCCTCGGATGTAACCCGTGCATACAGACTACTTTCTTTGCTTTGGAGAATGAGTTTAGAATAGAGTTTCCATTGGGTTCTGCGGTCAGTAGCTGCAATTAGTAGCCAGGTATACAGGTACCGCGGGCAATTGCATTCATTGCAATTGAACGCGGTTATGCCAGGCGGAACATATAGTAGTAGCAGAAGGCCATAGTATTCCCAACAGTAGCTCTTACATCAACATCTCCAGCATCACTAATTCACTGCATACAACATGTCGCAATCCCTTCGTATAGCCATTCTCGAGTGCGATACCCCCATCGACCCCATCAAAACCAAATATGGTCCCTACGGCGACATCTTCGAATCCCACCTCAAGGAAGGTCTCAGGCGCATCAACGCAAATGTCTCTCTCCAATTGACCAAGATCAATGTCGTCCAACCATTTGTGGATTATCCCAAGCCAGAGGACTTTGATGCCGTTCTCCTAACTGGCAGCAGTATGTGCTTTTAACCACTTCCCAAAAATCGCATAAGACATGCCGCTAAATAGTGTCTTGCAGAACACGACTCCTACAAAGATGAACCCTGGATCCTCACCCTCACTCGATTCGTGCAAGACTGCTACCTCATCCACCATAAACCCGTGATTGGGATCTGCTTCGGCCACCAGATTATTGCGCGTGCGCTGGGAGCCCGCGTCGGTCCGAATGTATCGGGGTGGGAGGTTGCTGTTGAGTCGGTGGATTTGACGAGTGCTGGGAAGCGGCTTTTGGGGAAAGATTCTTTGGTATGTTTTTCCTTCCGGTTATTCACTTGGTAATTATGGCTAGTATGTATGCTAATGATTACATTCATTGTTGCAGGCGATACATATGATGCACCGCGATATCGTATATGAGGTGCCGCCTGGATGTGTCAATCTGGGAGCTACATTGATCTGTGGTATTCAGGGGTTATATGTTCCCAAGCGCATTCTTTGTGTTCAGGGGCATCCGGAGTATAATGAGTTTATGGTGTCGGAGTTGTTGAAGCTGAGGCGGGGAATGCTGGGAGAGGCGTTGTATGAGAATGCGATGGCGAGGGTGGGGAGAGAGCATGATGGGTTGGTATTTGCGGAGACGATGTGTCGGTTTGCTTTGGGAATATTAGAATAACAGAATAACTTGAGAAGAAACATTATTATGTTCAGTGATTGTTGGTGCTGCGAATTGGAGAGAGGCCCACCGCGGGACCGCGGTCCACTAGACCGCGCCACTTGGTCGCCGAGATACGCACAGCTCTCTCTCTTTCTCTTATCGTCCATTATAAGAAGTACCCCTCACTAACTATCTACAATCCTCATTCCTACCCCATACACACCACCTCCATCACTTTTCTCTGCATTATGTCAAACGCAATTCGCACTCTCTCCCCCTCCACCAACAAGGTCATCTTCGAGCACCCTGGTCTCTCGCTCGACGAGGCCCGCCAGGTCGCTCAAGCCTCGCAAGATGCCTTCCGCACATACAAGCAGACCACGCTGGCTCAGCGCAGGGAAATTGTCCTCAAAGCTTTGGACCTGATCGCTGCCAACAAAGATACCCTCGCAGAAGAGTTGACCACCCAGATGGGCCGTCCCATCGCCTTTAGCGCCAAAGAAATCGAGACATTCCGCAAGCGCGGAGACCACATCCTCAGCATCGCAGACGAAAGCCTCAAGTCTCTCCCTGGCACGCCGGAGAACGGCTTCAGGCGATTCCTGAAGAAGGAGCCGGTCGGACCGACTCTGATCATCACCGCATGGAATGTAAGAAGCTACTCAGCACTCTTTTGAGGTCTGAACCACCACTAACGACTCAGTTCCCCTACCTCGTCACCATCAACGCCCTCGTCCCCGCCCTCCTCGCCGGAAACACTGTCCTCCTCCGCCCATCCCCTCAGACCCCCATCTTCGGCGAACGCCTCCTCACTTACTTCACCGAAGCCGGTCTTCCTCCCAACGTTCTCCAACTTGTCCACGTCGGCTCTCCCGACGTGCTCGACCAGATTGTCCAACTCCCCCAGATCCAGCTCATCTCCTTCACTGGCTCCACATCTGGCGGTTTCCGCATCCGCGAAGCAGTCGCTCGCAGAATCGTCCCCGTAAACCTCGAACTCGGCGGAAATGACCCCGCTTATGTCCGCCCCGATGCGGACATCCCGTACGTGGCTGCTCAGCTTGTGGACGGCGCCGTCTTCAACTCGGGTCAGAGCTGCTGTGCTGTGGAGCGGGTGTACGTGCATGCAGACGTGCATGATAAGTTTGTGGAGGAGGTACAAAAGGAGTTGGCTACGTGAGTACCTCACATATCTCAAAAAGATAATCTGGTCTAACGCGACGAATGAAGATACAAGCTCGGTTCTCCCCACGACAAGTCCACCACCACCGGTCCGGTGGTCTCCAAGGCAGCACTCAAGAACATTCAATCGCACATCGACGATGCCCTGTCCAAGGGTGCCGTCAACGCCACGCCCCAGAACCCCACGTTCGAGAACCCCCCTGCGGAGGGTAACTACCAGGTTCCTACTGTTCTGACTAACGTTACTCACGATATGGTTGTCATGAGGGAGGAGACGTTCGGTCCTGTCATGCCGATCATGAAGGTGTCTTCAGATGATGAGGCGGTCGCTTTGATGAATGACAGTGACTTTGGTCTTACGGCTAGTGTCTGGACCAAGGATATCGCCGAGGGAGAGGAGTTGATTGAGCGGTTGGATGCGGGAACGGTGTATATCAACCGTTGCGATTACCCGAGTCCGGTATGTCCCCCCTACCCATTGAAGTCGTAATTTTGAAGGGGCACTAATGTTTCTAGGACCTCGCATGGATCGGATGGAAGAACTCAGGTCTGGGATGTACATTGGGACCTGAGGGATTCAATGCGTTCTACAAGTTGAAGAGTTTCCACATCAAGGAGCAGCAGGCATAGAAGATATTTTCAATAGTTGTATAGCTTAATTGATGTTGCATGATGATCATGATTCTTTCAAAGAGTATAGCACACCAGCTGTAGAATAATAGACCTCAATCATTCTTAACACATCACAGAATACCAACAAAAAAGTACTTGAATAAATTGATCACCTATAATAACTCCAAAACCAAGAAAGAAAACACCTTATCTTCATTCCCAACAGACTCTTCCCTCAATCTCATAAATCACATGGTTTCTTCCATAACAATGATACATTGTATCCAATATGCAAATTATGCCAAAAGCGCAACTACACTCCCACCTGACCCAAACAATAATGCCTTTGGAATCCGTTCGCTAATCTGTGAAGGAACTAAGGGGAGAGCTGGGAGAGCTGAGCTACCGCGGTCCCGGACCGCGGGGTACTTAGCGCCCCGCCCCACCCCACCATCCCACCATTCCATCCCATCCCACCGCTTATCTTCCAGCCAGCTAGCTAGCTGCTTATCGGGCGCGCTCGCGCTTCCGACGCCGGCGGATAGATACAGCGCCAGACAGTGGAGCGGACCCAGCTATTATCTGCAGTCTGCACAGTACTGTGAGGAACGGCGGTGAGACGCTGAATTGCCGAGGATGGAGGGGTAGCTATTTAGCTTATTTATTATGTAACTGGTTATCGAGCAAGGGGTACTGTGGTCGTACTTATAACCGTGGCCGGTTCGCTTTCACCATTCCCTGACTTGATCTGACTTTGATTCTACTTCTCACTTTATTGCAAGAACATATATACATACATACACAGACAATTATCTTATTATCTAGCACAATGGTTGGACGACTTGCTGGAAAGAATGCGCTCGTTACTGGTGCTGCGGGGTATTTCTCTCCCTCTCTCTCTTTCCCCTGGGAAGCAATGAGCTAATAATACTTTTTCACGCAGTGGCATCGGTCTCGAAACCACCATCCTCATGCTCCGCGAGGGCGCCTCCGTGCTGATGACTGATATCAGCGGCCCCGGGCTCGAAAAGGCCCTGAACAAAGTGAACGAGGTTGTGCCCGAGCGTTCCGGCAAGGTGGAGACTCGCGTTGTCGATGTCTCCAAGGAGGCTGATGTGGAAGCTGCTGTGGGACATTTGGATGCCTGGGGTGGATTGGACGTTATTTTCAACAACGCGGGTATTATGCATGCTAAGGATGGTGACTCGGAGGAGACTCCTGAGGCCATTTGGGACCTGACCATGAACATTAACGTCAAGGGTGTGTGGTATGGATGCAAGCATGCTGTCAAGAGTCTGAGGAAGCATGGCAAGAAGAAGGGAAGTATTATCAACACGGCCAGTATGGTTGCTTTGGTTGGTGCTGCGACGCCTCAGCTGGCGTATACGGCTAGTAAGGGGGCCGTGTTGGCTATGACTCGCGAGTTGGCCATTGTGCATGCTAGGGAGGGTGAGTTGCTGCTCCGCTGCTACTGCTGCTGCTGTGTGTGTGGGATGGTGCTGATGATGGTGATGCAGGTTTCCGGTTCAACTCGTTGTGTCCCGCTCCGCTTAAGTGAGTAGATTCTCTCCGTGCATGCTGGGATGAAGCTAATGAATGCAGCACCCCCCTTCTGCAGGACTGGCTCGGTGACGACAAGGAGAAGCGCTTCCGTCGCGAGGTCCACTTCCCCACTGGTCGTTTCGGAGAAGCCATTGAACAGGCCCACGCCGTCATCTTCCTGGCTAGCGATGAGAGCAGCTTCGTCAACGCGGCTGACTTTGTCGTCGATGGTGGTCTGACCAAGGCGTATGTGACCCCTGAGGGTCCTGCCACTGAGGCCCCCAAGAACCTGGGTCAATAAGCAGCGACCTGTCTGGTCGGGATGCTATGAGTGATGATTGTATGATAGACTGGTTGATTAGGCAAACGATATCCATATTTGATTCCGTTGCATGGCGCGGCAGATGTTCCATGGACCGGTTTCGTCCAGCGGCATCTGCCACATGTGTTCCAGTATGAGTAGAGTCCTCTGCATGTTGCCAAGCCCAAACGTGTTTACCATGACGGTGAGCCGGCGGCGTAGACTATCCTGATGTTCAGCATTTGTTAAGCACGACCCCACCACGGCAATCGGCCAGCAGAGACCGGAGTTGATCCGCGCGGTCCCAGACAGCTGCCCTAGATAAGTCATCGCCTCTGTAATCGCGGTCTCGATCAATCCCTGATACATGCCGTTCTCCGCCCGGGAGAACCCGCCTAGCGCGGTGTACAGGTAAAGGAGCATCGCCTGCTGGAAGATCCGCCCTGCTAAGAATACCTCCGGGCTGACCGAGGCATATGGTGTCCAACGCATGATCTGTACTTGCAGCGAGCTGAACATGGCAATATCATCCGCAGTGGGCATGGCTGGTCGGCCATCGTGCATCATCCACTGCCGACCCAGGTCGAAAATGCACGGTATCAGTAGTAACAACTCCAGCCAGCAACCACATAAATTCCCCACATATTCTGATTGCAGCAGCTGACGCGCCCTCTGTTCGAGATCGAAGTTCAAGAACAGTTGGGTACTGACGCGAGCATCAACCGAGATCATGCTCACAGCAGCAGTGTAGGTGTAGTATTCGATAACAAAGTCTTTTAGGTCTTTCGGTACCGCTGTATCGCTTTGTGAGAGCAGTCGAATCAGAAGAGAATTAGCAGCAGTCAGATGGTCGAATATCGTGCCGTTCATATCGCCTTTGGCCGTCTGCAGCAGTTAGCCTCGTTCAGTTATCTTGTAATGTAGACATACCTCTGTAAAGCACATCACCAACGCCCCTACCGTCAGCATGAGCGGATTTGACTCTTTCCCGTCAATAAAATCGGTAACGCCTTTTCGGAATAGCTGAAGCGCTGAGGTGTAGTGTTTCTGCGCCACCTCGTCAGACTCCTTGTGGCAGCGAAACGCCCGATGGGCGGCACTCTGCGTCAGAACCAGCTGGAGCAGAAGATCGCTGCTGAAAGCGAGTGGCACGATCTGGACCAAAAATGGATTGATCGGGGTAGACCCGTTGGCCATGCAGTCGGCAGTTGTCGCCAAATAGTGGCTCAACAGCTGATAAGAATCAGGTCCATGGCCAGGAAACATGGACAGGCTCCGGGGGAGTAGATTGCTAACGGAGGCAGACGTTCCCAGGGCTTGGCTGCTGCTGATGGCAGGAGTCGGAGCAAGGTCCATTGAAATCAAGGGACCTGATGCAGGAGACTCGCGAGACGTGTCTTCCGGGGAGTTGGACTCCCGTAGTATCTCCTCCGGGGAAGATGGGGAGGTAGAACGGGACTCGATCGAGCTGGACGTTTCCCGGTTCACGCTCGTGTGTCGAGGGGGTCCATCTTCATTTGACTGTCGATCGTGATGGCCATCCTCTTCAGGCATGAAGGAGATATTGTTGGCTTTGGGTTGGCCAGGAATGATGGTCGGCCACTGGCAGGTGAGCTTATTCCGCACGCATCCCCCACAGATGGGTTTGGCTTCGTCACATTTCTTCTTGCGGCGTCTGCAGGCCCAGCAACCGGTGCGGACGCGGACGATGGGGTCGGTACGCGGCCGTCTACTAGGCGGCATTGGTGTGAAATAAGGGGCTTAGCGCTAGAGGAGTGGGAGATTGGAGGGAATCAGTGCTAAGTTCAGAGGCATGGAGAGCGGATGGGAGAACAAGCGGAGACGGCGCGGAAAGCCGAAGATAATCCGGTGATTGGTTGGCGGGGCCGAAGTGGAGATTCCATTGATTCGGCTTCAAGTTGAACAGCCAGCATTGTGAGGGCGACCATTGTTGGTGTGCTGGAGAGGGATATGCAGTGGGAAGAAAGACTGGTGTTCTCATGAGGGAGAATTACCCTCATTCCAAAATGGCCCGGAGACCTGGCCATGTCAGATGCCAACTGGTCAATGGCACCACCGATAAGGGAAACATATTATCCACTACAGACAGTAAACAAGAACCTGAATCTTTTCTATCTAACATTTTAATGAATGTACCAATATTATGGATCACCATCCCGTCGGTCTCGGCCAAACATCTACAATCGTCGATCCATCCCCATCCCGACTCGAATCCACCACCAGATACCACCCATACATAGCCCCCGTCACGCACGCATGATTCGGATATATCCTGACAGTCTGTCCGACCTTGAGCGGAATTGTAGACCCATCTCCTCCTTCCCAGGCAACAATCGCATGTTCCTGGCTGATCCGATCCACAATCAACCGCGATGACCCCTTCTCTCGTCTCCAATCCCCAACCACTCCCCATCCCGGATACGACTTGCACGGCTCTCTCCCCAAAGCCAGCGACCCAGCAGCCACCAAAGCCTCAGGTTTCGACCGCTCAGCATCGTTATACACACTGCAGACCTCTGCCACCACCGAGATGCCGACCTCTTTGTCCGCATCCGCAGTGGGATGAATATTGGTGCCCAATTGCTGCATATCCAGAACCGGGTAGACGCCCGCATGGAGCTCAACTTTGACTGACAACTCACCATCCACATCCTTTTCATGCAACAAGCTCTTCAACCGCTTCGCCTCCTCATTCAGTTGCCCCTCCTCTTCAAGTAGCTTCTTCACCACAACCACCTGCGGCGTAGCCCCAACACTGACCACCAATTCCCTCCCCTTACCACCAGGCAATGTGAACAGATCCTTATTCTTCCTCAATGCCTCCCGACACCCGGTGATCTCTTGCACCAAGAACCCCATTACCTCCTCTGGTGTATCACCCCCATAACTCAAACTGTTATGCGAGTAAACGCCAAGCAGAATCAACTCCCCCTTCCTCTCCCTCTCAGTCACCTTCTCGATCAAACCCCCCTTATTCAGCATGGAAGGCGGGAGTCCTGCCCGATGATACCCTGAATCCACCTTGAGAAACACCGACACCGCATGGCCCGCCAGTTCTCGAAACTCGGTCAGATACTGTACCTGATCGGGATGATCAATCATAACAGAAATACTCCCCTCGCCTAGTTCGCGCGCTAGTGCAGCCAACCTAGGAACCTGAGAGGGTACAAGAGGTATGCCGTAAAGTACATTGACTTTTCGTCCGGTGGCTCGGAGTTCCTTGAAAAATGGGAGTAGAGTCTCCCCTTCCAGAAGGGTGGAGATGACAAAGTTTGCGGGTATGGATTTGTCCTCCCCAACTTGGAGACGGGCGATTTGAGGAGTCTGTCATTATATCAGCCAGCGCGTCCATCGCAATTGATATGGGTTCCCACGTACTTTGTGAGTCTTGACATGCGCACGAAATCCCACATCCAAAGACTTTACTGCATCCAGCATGGAGGCGCAATGGCGCTTGATGATAGCTACATCTAGGACAACGGCGGGTTTGGGGACCGAGCCAATGTCTTTGCCAATGTAGTAGCGCTGAAGGGATTCCTGGGAGGATGGTGGTCTGGTTGGGAAGTCCATAGTTACACCCTTGCTCCCTTCTTTGTATGCGCTGTAGTAAGTAGAGATAAGTTGTAGATGTTGATGACTGGGTAATATTGAATTGGTTAATGTTCAGTTGAAGTTGTCGATGGCCATTGAATCATAATGTGGGGCAGTTTCGGTGAGGTGCGGGGGGAAGGTTTAGCCTGAAGTTTAGCCGGGGGTGGGTCGAATTGATAACTTTCTCCAAAGACATAACCATTGGTAGAGCAAACACCTGTTGATAGCTTCTAGAAGAATTCAAATGAACGTACTATGAGCTCTATTCTGTATTAGTAATATCATCGAAATGGTACACTGTTGAATTCCAACACCTCCCTTCTCCCTAATCGCGTTACGAAGCACCCTTATCCTGTCCAACCTTCCACATCTCAAGCGGAATTGACTCACTCTTCGGATTCCGTCTATACTTAAACTCCTCCATCAAAGACCTTGGCCCCTCTTGATTGATAGACCAATGCCACGGACGAAGTTGACTCGGAATCTCCACATTCTCGAGATCAACAGCCATCACCTTACTATACCCATGTTCCCGATCACCACATAGTATGAAGTTATCCAGTTTCTGATCTAGATAAAAAGCTTGATACTTCGAAAGCTTATCAAAGACATCTTCCAGATAAGACTTTATCAGGTTCTCAGGGACTTCTTCGTTGCTGCGAGTCAGATCCTCCAAAGTAATCCCCGGGATATCTGATAATACAAGTGCAGGTAGCCCGTCGTAGTACCCCTGGCCGTAGAATTCTGGGATAACTCCCCCCTGGAGGTCTTTTAGTTTGGTGTAGGCTGTTTGTTCATCTTCGAATTTTTCTTCCCGGTCGTCTTTTAGTTGCTTGATGATGACAGATGTGGCTGATTCTGGGATTATATGTCGATACGAGTTTGGTTCGAGGCGAAAGCGGTACACTGTTCGACGTGGATCTAGGTGCTCGACCTTTGTTGCTTTGATTTCATGGCCGTCTAGCTGGACGATCTATGGGGGTTAGTAGAATCCAATTCTCTGGTAATATGTAGAAAGATAATATCTTACTTTGGGTGGTCCCATCGCCGTGGAGGAATAAGTCATGACTGCCCAAACTTTCTGCAAAAATCAAGAGTGCGCAGGAGGCTAGAGAAAAAGAATGAATTTTAATAAAAGCGACAAGAAGATAACCTACATCATGTGGTCTATCACTGCAAAGGGGAAAGCTATATAGTCTAGGTTGCAATTGTCAGCCTAATTTAGGCTGCATATGAAGTGCTAGGGACCCGGAAAACTTTCGGTTTTAGCTTCCAGATCAGACTGGGTATGCTGAATATGCAGGTAAACACTCTTCATCCTCCAGTTCTACCAGGTTTTGAGGCACGTCCTCCGGTCTCACAGTCAGATCTGTGGGTATATGCTGAAGCAACTTGAGTCCCTTAATATCACGCCGACCAATAACTACGCCGTACGTGTCCATGTCCAGGACTAAGAAATTAGTGGTATAAATCGTGTTAAGTCCATGAACACACCAGTTCACCTCAGTTTGAAATTCTGCGGTAAGGCTCGTTTGATTCGCTGCATCATCGAGGATGGGGCGCAAGACCTTCGGCGTAATGGGTTGCAATGGAACCTCTAATTCCTGCGCGATTCTGAGAGACAGATAACTGGTTTTAACCCGTAGGTCCAAGTACACACGCACGGCTTTTTTCGAATTCGAGGAGTGGCCCCAAACATAGGCGGGTATTGAGAAATCGTCTTCCGGGTCCTCCACGATGTCGCTCAAAGCAATTGAAGGTGTTTGCTGAAGGTCATGATGCTCTTCACCAAGCTTGGTCTCGCGAGGTTCCATGGGGATCTCAAGCTCCTCAGCTTGCTCTACATCATCTCCCTGTGTATCAAACGTCGAGGAGTGAAGTTCTGAATTTGCATTTGCTTCACTGTTCTGTCCTTGAGACTCGATCTCATTCACCCCTTTAAGTTCATCCAGTTCGTTTTGCCTCGATTCGTCAGAATCAAGCTCATTTGAAGACGACGCTTCTGAGCTGCAAGCAAAATAAGCATTTCCCTGAAAATAGACATCATACCATAACCTCTCCTCGCGGGGAGGTCGTTCTATACTAGGATATGTCTGGATGTTATTCTTGATCAGCCAGTCGTAGACCTTTTCAGAGCTGTTGTGAATATTTTCAACACTCTCTTGTCCGTTATCATCCGCCCATGGTAATGCCCGGAGCGAGAAAGAGTGGACCTCCTTAGCGATATGATTGAACAGTGCTTCTTTTTCCACTTCTACTTCATCGTCTTCTGGCCAATTGCACAGTGGACAGTGTCGGATTTCTGATGGTATTGTCTTTTTTGACAACTCCACCAGGACTGGTATATGGGCTAGTGGAACGGTCGTAGCATGAAAGGTCTCCGTATGCTGTACAAAGGCTTCCCTGTTGGGAAATTGAGACCCATCACCACATGCAAAACAGGTCCAATATGTCATGCTGCTGTGATCCTTCAACATGTGCTGTCGCCAACTATCCTTTGTATTGAAGAGGACATAAGGCTGATTACAACTAGCCAAAACACAGGTGTAGGGGCTCAAATCATCTTCAATATGCTTCCTACTCTTGTTGTTAGCTTGGCCGTGATTGGATCTGCGTCAAGAACATCACCTCCATCTGATTTCATCTGCCATGTTTGCAGGAAGTGCTTCACAGCAACAGGGACACCGAAAGAGCCGCGCATCATCTTTGAGCTGAGGCGGGCGCGGGTAATCTACTTCGAGTGCAGTGATTGATACTGCGGAAAGCGTGACGGACTTAGCGTGGTCTATTTGGTGTAGTGTGTGGCCTGGTTGTGGTAACTGAAAGCCATCGGACAATCTGGAGGCACTGGTTCCAGTGATTACGGTGTTGTTGGCGTGCATTGGGCTATTATCTGAGGATTCCCAACACTGGTTTTCTTGGGGTGCCTCCTTCTGTGCTGATCCAGTTGACTTCTGCACAGGTGTGCGTAGTACGTAGCCAGCATTCAGACCTATGGCGTGTCTTTGAGAATACAAAAAGCGATTTCGACGCTTTAGGTTGCAGTGTACCAACCGCAACTGTACTTCATCCAACTGCGATGGGTCTCTTTCTTGGATACGACCATTTAATTGAGAGAGTAACATTCCGACAAGGTGGCCTTCCAGCTCCTGATGCTCTGATGCGTTAAACAGTTGGTCCGCCTTTTGCAACCGTGAGCGCCGTCCAGAGCGACGAATGGCAACTGCGACCCGGGACAGTTGATCCATCATCGACTCAATGTCATACATTGACTCATACAACAGGTTCCCGGACGGATTCCGTAATTCATGACGGTCTGTCGACTGTCCATCAGAGCTGGAATCATCGGACCATGGGGAAAATGCTCGCCCTTGTCCTTCGTTCTCAGAAGAGACAGGGTCTTCCTCATTGTGATAAGCACGCGAAAAGACTTGTTTTTGGCTTCTTTTTAGGCATTCGTCAATCATCGTACTTAGCAGGCGCAATAGATTGACAATCACATCATGAGCTTCGGGCCTCGAGGCTAGTCTGGAGTCCAAAGAAGCTCGTCCTCTGGCGCAGGCTCCGGTGCCTGATATCCATAAATTCATATCAGCAAGGCGATTCTCAGCCCATTCGTTTTCCATGAGTGGTGGATTTTGCAAGCACCGTGTGAAAAGGTCAACGCACTGCTGTGCAGCCTCTTTTATGCCCTGCTCCATGGCTGTCAGGTAGCTCGTTGCGTACGTAGTCGCTAAATGCGACGATATGTGCTCAAGTAGATAGGATCAGCTGAGGGGTTGCAGCCTCACTAGTCTCGCTAGTCTAATATTGATCCGACCCCGCTCCTGCTGCACGGCGCTTACTTCAGTACGATGAGGACGAACCTGTTACTTCCCTTTCCCCTGTCTTCTATCGAGGTTTTTTGGCTTTTTCCTATAGCTGATTCTTAGAAATGGCACAGCAACCCACGTATATCCTCTCACCCAACTTCCATTTCAAGCCAGGAACGGGCCCTATCGGATTAGGGAACATAATATCACACCCCCTACGACCACACCGAGCCCTGACAACTGTCGATGCGACGACACTGGAGAAAGTGTACCCGCGGATAGAAAGATTTACGGATCACGAGCGAAGTATTGAACGAGGCGATAGCCGCGATGTCTCGATGAGCTTATGGGCAGAGTTCCTGCAGACGGTATCCGGAAAGTTGTCGGGCGGACGGGGTAGCGATGTGCGATCAAACTATAGGATGGACCAACTGGAGACAGAATACTTTGTCACTGACCCTCCGCTTGAAGAGATCCAAGCACGTCTAAAGTCCCCTCGGGTTCAGGCTGTGACCAAGGCAGGCAGAATCCCTGGGCTCAGGAACCCTGTTTACATGGTTACGGGTCTCATGATAGCGAAAGGATTTACCGCCATTATGGAGAACAATAAGCGCCACAACGGGGAGATTGAGGTTGGCGGAAATATTCCATCGCCGGGATTTCAGGTTGGCGCTGGAGCGAATCTCGCCAAATCGACCAGCACAGAAGAATCAGATACTTGGCGGGCGGGCGAGGATATATTGTTTGCATATCAGCTTCTCAAGATAGAAGTCAAGGGTTGGAAAGGCAATAGAGTTAAATACGATGAGCTGAGGCACAAGGCCGCCTACTTGAGCAAAGATGATGAAGATGAGACAGATGAGGACGACGATGCCGTGGAAGAGATCATCATAGGTTCAGCTGATCCGGGCACTTTATCCAGTGATCATGACCAAGGGAGTATGACTGTGACAGAAATTGGAGAGGGGGATAGTCGAGTCAACTGTATTTCTTCGATAGTCGGGAGTGACCCCTGACTCAGAGTAATCAGTTCTCATATTCAAAGCCCAGATAACTTGCCGCCAATTTTCGCCCACCGGGCATCCTCCGGAATACCTATCAAGCCCCGTACCGTCAGGTACAAATAGCCTGACTGGAGCGTGTTAGAGGATATGGCCCTGAATATTGCATTCATTCCCCGACGTGTCCAGGCTCGGTTTTTGGCATTGTAGAATGGCTTCTCGGGAGGGCGAGAACTGATATATCCCAGAAGAGACCCTGCTATTCCAGCCGCTATGGCCGTAGCAACTGATGTTCCAGACCTATACTCGTCGCCATCAGAGTTGGGCCACGCAGAAGGAACGTCTATGCCAAGAGTCCCGAAAACCACCGGTTCATCTTCATGCTTAGGGGGATTAAAGTCTGCAAATAGGCCGTTTGAATTTGTCCCCCGAATGGAGATGACGGATTCGTGTCTGGCAGGAAACATCTCTCGATCATTGGCTCCGTAATTTGAAGCTGCTGCAAAGAAAAGAATAGAATCTTTTCGTTTGTACAGGGCTTCGCGTATCGCGTCACTGATACACGGCTGTTCGTCTGCAAAGCCGAACGACATGGAGATGATGTCGGCTTTCCATGCTCCACTTGCCCAAGAAATCGCCTAAGCAAGTCAGCGGAATGACATTCAAACAATTTCCTCGGATCACTAACTTCTGCAACTTTCTCGCTGGAATTTAAGAGTTGATGGGGGCTTTTGGCAATGCGTGCTACATAAATATCAGCATCGGGAGCACACTTCAGAACGAGAGACACCAAATGAGTGCCATGTCCATGACAATCTTCGGGCTGGCTCGAACCATCAATCCAGTCTTTCCAGCCTTTAAGACGTTCCATGACATCAGGTGAAAAGAAAAACGGGGCATTATCGTCGTATCCAGTGTCCAAAATCGCTATCCGTACGCGCCGGGTTACCCCGGGTGATCCCGCTGCTGGTGCAACTTGAGCTAGCTCCCTATTAAACTCCTTCAAGTCTAATAGCCAGTTGCTAGCGCTTTTCTCACTTTCGGTGCGCTTCCTCCTGCGCTCCGGCGCTTTGCCCTTGTCAGGATTTCCCGGTACAATGGCTTCTTTCGTTTTCGTATCCTGGGAAAGTACATTAAGCGGGGCTATCTTTTCATAATTGTCGATCCATTTCGTGCCCTGTAGGAGGTTTTCGAGCGGGAACACAACTTTCTCGTATAATATGTTTCTTCGTTGCTTGAGGTTTTGTCTCTGTTCAGAGGCAGATAAACATTCAACACAAGCTGCCTTTTCGAATGCACCGGGCTCCAAATAGTGGCATATTGAACTCATATAGTCGGGGTAGTCGAAATTCTTCCAGCGCTCTTCATCCCTTGTGTAGTTGATGGCCGTGAGCAGTTCAGCATTCACTTCGGCGGCCAAGGACTGCCCCTTGTTCTCACTCTTGGGAAGCGGAAACCCAAGACCTATCTCAACCAGCATGATACCAAGCGCTCTGATCCTTGGGTAGACATGCACCATCCCAGGAATCTTATATTGTTCGTAGCACAACGGACCTTCATCTCTGAAATCCACGGATACATACGGTTTCCAGGTAAAAAGCTTACCCTGGCCCCTACCCCCAGAGGTATCACTTTCCCTCATAAATTGAATATTCTCGCTTGTCCATTTTGTTCGCATCCAGTCTGTGCCGTAGTACTGCCAGACAGAATAGGCTATTATGTAAGCTAGTACAAGCTTCATTCGTGCCGTTAGATGGTAGGTGCTGAGGATTTTGGCCAAAGATATTCCCGGAATATGGTCGACTTTCTGCTTATGGGGCTCAAAGAAATGATAAAGCTCCTGGTCTTCAATAGAGAGGCAAAGGCGCCAGCCTTTCGCTAGATCGAGTAAACGGCAGAATTGGCCTTTGTCTGTTCGTTGCCCTGTTTTTGCAGAAAGATTGTTGGCCTTCTCATCTCCATATCCATCATCTCCACCAAAAAATCGGACGCACTTTTTGCCGTGTGTCTGGTCATTTGGCACAAGCAGCTCAATATCTTGCCAGTGAGTGAGCTGTGACTGGTTCCAGAAGGGCTTTGATGAGAACAGCATATCAAATTGCACCAGATTATTACTGGCCACTGATTGGGAAGGTGGCTCTAGCAGGAGACACACTAGGTGTCCTCTCTCCATTTGCCTACGCACTCCATTGGTCTGACAAGTACAGCACATTTGCTCTCGTAGGACTCGATGAGCGATCGCGTTAGCAAGATCTGAGCGCTCTGGGCGAGCAGCTCTTCTTCTAGAGCCGATATCTCCACTCTCGTCGCGCCTAGATGACTTGCGATTGCGCTCAATGAATTTTTGGATATGAGAAATGGCCACCTCGGCATCGCGAGGACACGCGGTAAGCTGATCAAGTCCCCGTCGAATCTTTTTCTGAGCCTTCTCATAAGATGTCACGTCAGGGAATGGCTTTGCTATCGCTTCAAGAAGAGGATAGTCATTTCTTGGTATATTCTTCGGCCACTATTCCAAGCTCATCAGGCTTCATCCACATACATAGAGATTTCTGCCACACTTACATTGCACATAGTTTCCACATCTCGCAATAGCTTGGATATTCGCAGCCGCAGTCGCCTCTCCTGATCTAAGCCAGCCGTGTCGATGTAGTTGGCGACGAGGAAGAGCTCAGCCCCGAGACGCCCACATAAAGGTCGCTTGGACTCAACGCCCAGTAAAGACGCGATGTTAGCGACCTGGGCTATGGCAGTATGTGCAAAGTCTATTGGATCCTCACTCTCCATTCCGTTGATGTCACGGTTCATCATAGGTAACCATGGAAATGTGTGTGCCAAAGTGAGGGCGGCTGAGCGATGCGGGGCAGACTCAGCTGATGATAGCGCGCGCCTATTCACCGCGTGTTCAACCCAGCCCTTGACAGCCTTTAAGTTCTTCGCTTCCTCGGTCGGGCAGTCCTTCTCTTATGTTTCTTCATACAGGAGTAAGCAGCTACCAAATCAAAAGGCGGTGTCATTCAATGTTTTCGGTTATTACTCGAAATATGAGCCTGTGAGGTTTGGTAGTACTTCATTACTAGTATATATTCTCAAACTTATACAACCGCGTGATATCTGTAAAGTAGTAATGTAATTAGTACTCCCTGTCTGGTACTAAGGCTTCACTCAACTCTACTACAAATCTTAAATACTAATGTTGGAACACTTACCAAGTAGACCAAAAGAGAGATCCCTCTTCTGGTTACTGGTACTGCTCAGGTTTTCTGTGTTTTGACGAATAATCGAACAAAGTCTCATACGAATTTCAGAGGTATCAATTGTGAGGCAGGTTTGTGCAGCCTGATTTATACATCCATCTTAACCTGGACACTTGTAAAATGCAAACTTTTGTTATGTATCTCATTACCGGGCTGTTACTCTCTATAGGTATGATAAGAGAGAAACTGAGCCCATAGCTGCTCCATACCTAAGAAAAAGAAAATGATACTTCTATAACCAACCACTACAACAACATCAAGTACCCATCATCACCATCAACATCACCTACACTCTCCCTCTCAAAAACAACTTCTCCGGCCTCATCCACCTCAAAAACCCCTGCACCCCAACCATCCCACTCCCATTCCTCGCCTCCCCATCCTCACTCACCCCCTTCACCTCCAACTCATAAAGCTTCCACGACCTCAGAATCCACAAACACACCGCCCCCAACACAAACATACAAGCAACATACACCTGCGCACTCAAATACCCAGCCCCGCTGCCCGCCATACTCAACGCAATGGCCTCAGCGACCAGATTTGGCGCCACCAGCATCAAGCACACCATCCCAAACGTCGACGGGAGACGATTCAACCCGACCACATCAGTAAGCACAGGGGCAATAGTACCCCAGAAGGTCCCGCAGACCATACCGCACAGCACCGCGAAGAGAAGCAGAAGTGCATATGAATGAGCAGGGATCCAGATAGCGAGACACAGAATCGCACACGACGCCGTCATAGCCATGGAGATGGTGATGCGGCCGTAGGCATCACTGATGTAGCCGACGACTGGACGACCAAGGACAAGGCCGAGGTTGAGGATAGCGCCGGCGACAGACCCCTGCTGTGGGGAGAGGCCGATGGAGGAGGCGTAGTTGGGGAGGGAGTAGAGGAGGGTGATGTATCCGAGGTCAGTGGAGATGCCCCAAACGATGATGAGGAGGACTTCGAGGTGGCCGAGGTCGCGGTGGTTGAAGGTTCGTTGACGGGGTTGGGCGCGTGAGCGAGGCCGGTCTTTGAGGAGGAGGGAAGAGACGAGGTGAGAGCCTAGGGCGCAGAAGGCGAGGATGCGGTAGGTGGATTGCACGCCCACGGATTGGATGGCGCGGCCGGCGGCGAGGTTGTATGCGAGGCCGCCGAGGCCGGCGCCGGAGGCGGCAATGCCGCTGGAGAAGCTGCGTTTGGTGGAGAACCATTTGGGGAGGATGGAGGTGGCGGTTAGATAGAGGAAGCCCATGCCGAAGCCGAAGGCGATGCCTTGGGTGAGGACGAGGTGCCAGACTTGGGTGGAGTAGGAGGCGGCGAAGAGACCGACGAAGATGAGGGCTGTGCCGGTGAGGAGGGTGATGGCTGTACCTAGTATTTCGTTGGATTTGGTGACGATGGGTCCGATTAAAAGGGATAGGGAGACCTGGAGCCCGCCGATGATCGCATAGTCGAGGTGGCTGGCGCCGGGGAAGGTCGAGTTCGAGAGGTAGTAGTCTAGAATTACACCCCAGGCGCTGTTGATGCCCCAGGTGTGTACGTTGATCATGAATACGCAGAATGTGCACACCCAGCCGTATCCGCCGTTGGGTGGGATGTCTTCCAATGTACTGATGTTGGTGGCATTCTCGGGGCTTTGGTTGATATCAATTTGGTCGGGCGGCTGTAGTTCGAAATTGTCTCTTACGTTGAGATGCTCCGTGCTAGGGTACATTTTGAACTTCTCTCTGATGAGTTGAAGAGTGCTTTTCTCTTGTTTTTCGGTCGGTTTGATTTTGGCAGCCATGGTGATGGTAGTCAGGGTTTATATGCATGAGTCACGCTCACCCCGCCGTGACACGTCCACCTGCAGACAAAGGCAGAAACTTGAATGTGTAGAGACCCGATCCAGGGCTATTTGAGCTTTGTGTTGGACTTCAGAGCATGATGGAGGAGGGTAGTAGATCAATTGATATATTGCATTAGTATATTACAGATCAGATTCATGGGTCCACATTCCATTTAATATCCTCCCGGCCAAATATGTCGACGCGTCAGCTTACTCGGAAGTACCGGACTCGACCTTGCCATTCTTCTACCACAGGGTTAGAGTTTTCGATAGATAAGAGGCAAGGGGAGTGGAGTGTCTTACCAGGGTACGGTTGTACTTCACACCGACATTGTTTCCGCTGCGAGAGTCGTAGGGAAAGGGGGTGGTGTAGTTGAAGGTAGCAGTCAAGCCCTCGTAGGTCTTCTTGACTGTAGAAAGAATTCCGTTGCCAGCAGAGCAGCTGGCATCAGTTGTGGGAACAGGCCAGCCAGCGTAGTACTCGCTGTAGTCATCATCGGACAGAGGACCCCAGTGAGTCTCGTTCATATAAAGGTTGCTCGTATCAACCTCGTAGTTAACGTAGCCGGTCTTCTTGGCCAGCCAGCTGAACAGGTTCGCACCGCAGTCCCAGCGGCCCAGGGAGGGGAGGCCCCAGTTAGCAGACAGGGAAGCGATGACGGAATAGTGAGTGTAGAAGGTGTCATCCTTAGTACCCAGAAGATCATCCGGGACGGCACCGCCGAGAAGGAAGGTGTAGATGTTGTTCCCGATTTCATAGGTGCCGGTCTCATCAAAGGTGAGCATAATAAGGGTGTCCTTGGTGAAGTAATCGTTCTCCAGAAGCTCAGATAGGAAGCCCCAAGTCCAGTCACCGGAAAAGGTGATGTTGGTGTCGTGGCCATCGTTGGTCATGTTGGGAGTGATGAACATGTACTGCGGAAGACGGTGATTCTCCAGATCATCGTAGAAGCTACTGAAGTTCTTGATTTGGCGCAGACGGAGAGCATCTTCGGTGACCGAGTCAAACAGAATCAGAGGATTGTGCTTGCGAACATAGTCGTTGGCACCGCTCTCGGGGTAGCGGTAACCCTGGTACCCAGGGTAGGGGAGGCCTTCCTGGTATTCACCCCAGGCGATGTTCTTGGTATCAAACAAATCGGCAATGGTAGAAACGTTGGAAGGAATCTGATGGAAGTCATCATTGTCCATGCCGAAAGTGTCACCAGCGGCAGATGCGCAGTAGTTCGGCTCCGAGGGGTGAGTGACAGCCCAGAAGTTGTTCAAAAGGAGACCCTTCTTGGCCAGCACTGGCAAATGCTCGGTGGCAGCAGCAGCATCAAAATCCTATCAGAAATGACATGTCAGCTGTGGCTCAATCACTGCATATACCAAATGTAACAGCTGAGGACATACGGTGTTCTCCAACCAGATGTTCACAAAGCGGTTGAACGCCAGTCCCTTGACATTCGAAACGGGAGAGTAAGGCTGCACAGTAGCTTGTGCGGCACGAATCTCAGCCAAGGAGGGGTATTCCTCCGTGGTGGTCTGGGCCACAGCCAGAGAAAGACCTCCGAGGAGGGTCACGAGGGACTGCTTGGTGAACATGATGCCCCAGATATCAGCAGACGAAAGCTGAAAGTATAATAAGAGAGGGATCCGGCGTAATATCCACAGAGAAGCACACCAGACAAAAAGAAAATCAGAATAATATTGGGCTACTGAGGACATCTTTATATCTTTCTTCACGGCTGCTGTGAACTTCATACCGGTCCATCGCGCACATGGTTATTCGTGCCGCAACTATTCTAGCCCGGAGCAATTTAATCAATGAACTGCAATTGGACAAGCCTGTCTAACCGACGAAGCCAGTTTGCCAGATCCCCACAGCATCTGCGTCGGCATTGTGGAACGTTGTCGGCTGCTGTTGTGCATGGCAGGATTGCAGCTGATGCCATCTGGTGAGATGTTCTGCACGTTGCAAGTCAAGTGTCGCTGACTGGCCGACAGGGAAATGCCCGCTAATGCCCAGTTTGGAAAGGCGGATAACTTAGATAGCGGAGTGTGACATTCTATTGGACAATTGCTCGACCACTCAGCCAGTGGGGAGCACGGGGCTCTCCGTCCCTGGCACGTGCCCGCAATGCCTTCTGCCAGCGGATGATTTGGCATATACTAGTCTTTCAGACTGAAAGCTCGCTTCCGATGGGACTGCAGTAGTCCATCTCCTGTGGAGACTCGGGTCACAAAGAGTTCGCAGTGCGTGGCTATATTGCGCGAGTGACGGGTACGCTAGGAACATCCCGGACTACTGTACACTACGGAAAGTAGAATAGGGTCTTGGAATAACTGGTTGAACTCCATAAGGTCGTTGCTCTCATTATTTTGTAGTCAACTCTATCGATCTATATACCTTGTTGACCAGTCCGGTCACACCTGCGTAGCATGTAAATCCATCGACACCATACATCCTATACTCCAGTTCGCTTAAGCAAAGAACTTGGCCTCGCCCTCCTTCAGCTTGCCAGCACCAACCAGGCGCTTGACCTCCTCGGCGTACACGTTCTTGACGGCAGCAGCATCCTTGCCAGCAGCGGAAAGGCGTCCAGCCAGGCCAGCAAGCTCCTCAGCGTCGATCTTGCTGATGACGAGGTCAACGTCACCGAGAACGGAGTCAACCTGAGCAGCGGACGGCTCACCACCCTCGCCAAAGTAGTTGACATCCTTGATGGAGCCCTTGAGAACACGCTTGTTCTTCTTGGCGGCGTTCTTAGCGGCTTCCTTGGCCTTCTTGTTCTGCTCACGCTCGGCCTTAGCAGCCTCCTCGGCGTCCTTCTTGCGCTGCTCCTCCTCCAGGCGAGCCTTCTCCTTCTCCTCGGCCAGACGCTTGATCTCAGCCTCCTTCTCGAGACGCTTGCGGTCCTTGTCGGCACGAGCAGCCTTACGGAACTTCTTGATACGCTCGTCACCAGCGGCGCATTCGTCCACAAGGTGGCGGAGACGGGTAGTGTCCTCGGTCTTGCGCTTGCGGCGGGCGTTGGCGTTCTTCTTCTCCATGTGACGCTTCTGGTCACGGTTCTCGTTGTCATCCGGCACATCCTCGTCCAGGTACTCGAAGGTACGCCAGCTGTCGAAGTCGTACCAGAAGTTGTAGAAGGTCTCGACCTCCTCCTGGGTGCTGTTCTCGTCCCCGAGCTGGGGCACGGGCTGCTTCTTGGAGAAACGGCCCTCGGACTCGAAGACAGGGCGCCAGAGCTTGAAGAAGTTGCCCTTGGCAGCCTCCTTCTTGGTGGGGGGCTCGACATCAGCGGCCTCGTCTACGGAGTCGAACTGACGACGCTTAGTGGGGTCCAGGAGAACCTCAGTAGCCTTCTGGATGCACTTGAAGAAGCTGTCGTTCTCGTCGCGGTCACCCATGGCGGCCTTCTTGTCGGGGTGGTGGCGGAGGACCTTCTTGCGGTGGGCGCGCTTGATCTGCTCGGGGGTGGCACGCCAGCGGTACTTGGACAGGCCGAGAACCTGGTAGTGATCTTGGCTCTGTAGTGTGTAAGAATCATACTTATATCGACGATTTCGGTAATGCATACCTTCCAGTCCTTGGCATCTCTGGAGAGCATCATAGGGTCCTCATCCTCGGAGATGTCATCATCCTCCTCGTCCTCGGTGCTCTTCACGTTCTGCTGGGCCTGGATACGCTCATCCTCGGAGAAGGTGCGGTGGTGACGCTTCTGGGGGGGTGTTAGCAGAGGCCATTATCGCACTGGATCGGTCGCTAGATACGTACTCTGCGGGCGTGGGCCAGGAAGTGAGGGCCAACGGGCTCGAGGTTCCTCTGGGTGGCAGCGGAGACGGTGCCAACAGCCTTGAAGTCCTTATCGGCACTCCAGCCAGAAGGCAGGGAGGGGAGAGTAACGTTGATGGTCTGAACGGTAGCCATGGTCAAGAACAGAGCCACGCGGGGTGATTTGAGGGGAGAATGGGAAAGAGTGAGAAGCGCCCAACGGACTGTTTGAGCAAAAAGACAAAGTGCTTTTCCAATTTTTTCTGCCCCGACTTGCCGCCACCCAGTGGGCCAATCAAACCTTGGCTGTTTCGGAGGTCATCGAAAGTCATGCTGCCGCAGGGAACGACGGTTAGAATTCAACCTTTTCGCATGTTGATTAGATCTTCTTCTTATATGTTTTGTTGTTTTTGACTGTAGTTTCTATATCAAGGATTCTTTATTTACAGAGCGACGAGCTGCATTCGCCTGACGACAGTTTTTCTTTATCATCAAATCACCCGCTACTATCGCAGTACGCCACCCCAAAAGACTCAATTCACAAGGAGACAACTTCTAAAAAAGATAACAGATTCAATTCTTTGATAAATCTTACTATTCAACCTCATAATGTCCTCCCAAACCGCCTTGTCCGCACGCAGTGCTTACCGCCAACTCCTCCGCGCTACCCGCATTGCCTTCCGGGGTCAGTCGCCGCCTCAACAGCCATAAGTCTATTCAACGCTAACCATATTCAACTTGCAGATGATGTCCGTGTTATGATTGCTGCCCGTCAAGAGGCTCGCCGGAATTTCGACAGCCACCGCCGCGAAGGCATTGATACTCCGATGCAGATCAACCATGCGCTCGAAGTGGCCAACATTCTCAGACACAACATTGTCCAGGGTGTACGGGAACAGAATGATGAAAATGCCAAGTGGGGTGAGTAGCTAGCAGAGCAATTATGCTACGGCTGAGTATATGTCGCTGACCCGAGATCCTATCAGAACTCCGCATTCATGACGACATCGAGCGCGGCGATAACGACACCATCAGAGTTAAGGGAAAGACTGTCAAGGTGGATAAGGCATGCTCGTCATAGAGGGAGGGTTTCCCGTGTGGAATCTGACTGTCTGGAAGCCTATGCGTGGGTGAAAGGATGACTGCAGACTATGGCATTTGCAGACTGTATTATAGTATACCCAAACTTTTCTCTCTCCTTCCGGCGTCTTTGGGGGTATTTTATGGTTTAATCAGAATGTAGAAAATATACACAACGCCCGCTCGCGAACATACATAAGACCTCCTTGTTCCCGGACCCTGTAGAAAACAAGCCAAAATGCGAGTAGAAATGCAGATCAGTCACCAGACAGACTGGAGTACTGGACCTCCCCAGCACCCGGGGGTGGGGCGACAGCATAACTCCGTTGTTTTTGCTCTTTGCCAATCTCCTCTCCGGCAGCTGTGATGGCTCTCTTTCCAGAATCGGCTGCCCGCGGGCCTGCCGCCTGCCGACCTTCCCGGGCATGCTTCAGGCGCTCCTCCCTATCCATGTTATCCAACGGCTTGGGCTTGCCCCATCGAACACGCAGAGGGCAGCCTTGGATGACAGCCCGACCCTGGCACTGCTTGGCAGCTGCCTCAGCACCCTCCCGAGTTGCGAAGTTGACGAACGCAGAGTGAGCACGGTGGGAGCAAATGAGCGACCGCAGCTGTCCAAACTGCGTGAAGAAAGTCCGCAGCGTATGTTCCGGGAGGTCATCCTCCACGCCAGTAACAAAGAGCGAAGTGATGTTCGGATCCGCGGGCGGTAGGATATCTTCAGCCGATGGGGGCACCTGGGCGGCGCTGGGAAATGGGCGGCCACCACGACCACCACGCATACCTCCTCGTCCCCTACCCGGAAGTGGCGTTCCCCTCCTGCTTTCGCTTGTGCGAATGGGTCCCGGGCCATTTCCGTAGCGGCTGTGTACGACCGGTGCGTCGCTGGGTCCTGCACTCGCGCCCTCCTCGTCTTGGGGTGCGGCCTCTATCTGGCGAGGCTTCCTGTAGTAGGGTTCACTGTTGGCGAGCCTCCGAAGCAACTCCCGAGCTTTCTCGTCCGTCTTCTCGTATTCCTCCACCGCGCCACGCCCCTCTTCGATCTCCTTCTCGTGACCTTGTGCGTAGTATTCGCGGTTGATGGTGCTTTCGGGGCCTGGGGCGACCATCTTCAAAGCAGCATCACGAACGACGATCGGCAGCCCGAAGGACAGATCCAGCATACAGCATTGGCAGCAGTTCTTCAAACGCGCGCAGGTCAAGCAGATGGCAGTACGCTTCTGGCGCGCGGTGCGGTCAGCTTTCCAGCGAAAGATGGTGAAAGGACGCGTGCACTGGGAATATGTTAGTATGGTCTGGTTGTCCGAAAGTGGAAAGGTCAGCCTACAATCTTGCATTCTGCGCCATGGTCTTCCTTGAGCATCTGAACGTAAGGATTGTCGGGCAGGCAGTTCTCGCACACGGAGGGGAAGTCGGTGGTCTCCCATCCGGACCGGTTCAGGTCCTGCTTAATCTGTGGAGGGGGCATGTTGTCGTTGTGGTAATCAGCTGCGCTTCCACACAGAAACGCGAAGCCCTGCGGAGATGATGCGGCGAAGTTGAGCGTTGTCGGTAGCAAGAACTTGGATTATCGATAGTCGTAGTGGCGCATCCTGTGGCTAAGTGTGGCTGTTGTGACATAAGCAAGATGTGAGTCACGTGATTTGACTGCAAGTTCCTGCATCACATGCATGGAAAGGATGAGCCCGAGTGGTTGTTTAGGCATCTGCGTAAGGAGTATAGTAATTCCATTAGAAAGTGCATGACGCTCAATCATACAGAGTCTGAAACGAAACCTTGCAGTCCAGGCCTTGATCCTGCGGCATTCAACATAATAGCATAGCCTCTTCTGTGCGGCCAGCGGATCCAGTGATGCCTGGCGGAATACGCACCGGATACGCGATACGCGATACGCAGCTCCTCGATATGACCAGGAACGCCCTGGTCAACTGCCTAGTACGGCTTAGCGCTGTTCCACCGTCTCTTTCGGATACAACTTTTTCCTGGCCAGAACCCCAGGATGCCTGTTTGGGCCTAGCCCCCCGCCATCTGGTTGGCTGGCCAGCGGCACAGCGGTGATTGGCTGGGGAAATGTCAAAGTCAGTCGTAATTCCGCCTCCCCTTTCTTTCGGGCGATCGCATTAACTGCTGCGTTGGCCTCGCTTGCTTCTTCGTATCCTTTCGTTTTCCTCTTCCTTCACTTCTGTCTGCCTGTTTGGCCTTTCTTCTTTTCTCAGGATCGTGTTTGTGGTTATAAAACTGCCTCAATTGCCTCCTCAAGTCCCTGTATCCGAACCACTTACTCCGGACACCTGTGCTTCTTGACCGATCCACCCCTTTTTATCCCACTTTAATTTCCAATTGCTGTCAACAATGGCTCCCGCAGCTCTCGAACAGGAGAACCATGCGCGTGACGCGGAGTTCAACCGCGTTCTCCATGGAAAGTCCGCTGAAGCTCAGGGTGGTTTCGCTGCCATGCGCAACAAGGACGCCGCCGCTCAGAAGGCTGCTGTCGACGAGTACTTTAAGCACTGGGACAACAAGAGCGCTGAGGAAGAGACTGAAGAGATCCGTGCGGTATGTTTGCGACTTACTCCTTTCCGATATTAATGCTAAGCCTTGTACTAATATTTTGATGTTCTAGGCCCGTCGTGCCGAGTATGCGACCTTGACCAGACAGTATGTAGCGCCATTAAGACCCAGAAACATGACTTCGATTCTCAGTACTGACTCGAATTCGCTATAGCTACTACAACCTTGCGACGGACTTCTACGAGTACGGATGGGGTACCTCCTTCCACTTCTGCCGTTTCTCCCCTGGCGAGGGCTTCCACCAGGCCATCGCTCGCCACGAACACTACCTCGCCCATCAGATCGGCATCAAATCTGGAATGAAGGTTCTCGATGTTGGCTGCGGTGTCGGAGGCCCTGCCCGTGAGATCGTCAAGTTCACTGACGCCAACGTGGTCGGCCTGAACAACAACGACTACCAGATCCAGCGTGCTACGCGCTACGCTGAGCGTGAGGGTTTGGCCCACAAGCTGACCTTCGAGAAGGGTGACTTCATGCAGATGAAGTTCGAGGACAACACCTTCGACGCTGTCTACGCCATTGAGGCTACCTGCCACGCTCCCGAACTCGAGGGTGTCTACAAGGAAATCTTCCGTGTCCTGAAGCCCGGTGGTGTCTTCGGTGTCTACGAGTGGTTGATGACCGAGGAGTACGACAACAGCAACGCCGAGCACCGCAAGATCCGTCTCGGTATCGAGCAGGGTGACGGTATCTCCAACATGGTCAAGGTCTCCGAGGGTCTTGACGCCATGAAGGGAGCCGGTTTCGAGCTCCTCCACAACGAGGATTTGGCCGACCGCCCCGACACCATCCCCTGGTACTACCCCTTGGCCGGTTCCTTCAAGCACTTGACCTCTCCCTGGGACTTCTTCACGATCGCTCGTATGACCTGGTGGGGCCGTGGCATTGCCCACCGTTTCGTCGGTGCCATGGAGAAGGTCGGTCTCTTCCCCAAGGGCTCTCAGAAGACTGCCGACAGTCTGGCCTTGGCCGGTGACTGCCTTGTTGCCGGTGGTGAGAAGAAGCTGTTCACTCCCATGTACCTCATGGTTGGCCGCAAGCCCGAGTAAACGGTTTCAGCAAAAAACTTGCATTATGCGATAACGCCTGTACAAATTTTTCTGGGACAGCATCCTATTGCATAGACAGCACGGCGGTCTATGTTCTTTAATATCCGGGTTTCTTCTATTTTCCTTTATATTTTCCTATGTTTCATTCCCTTTCTTGTGTGTCATTATATTGCATACCGCCGCGGGATGCTTTGTTTTCGTTAGTGCATTTGTTTTTCCCATCTCATGTCCTGCCCATACGGGAATGGGCAGGCGTACGAAATCACTGCTGAGTATTATGTGCCGATGGTGATGATTCCTTTCTGCTGCTTGTCATTTGTTGTTCAGAATAGATTTAATAGCGAGTACCAGGAATAACGAGTCTCAAAATTACCTATTTCACTTTACTTCCATACCAACAACGTAAATCATAACTAGTCCGTCTCATACCTTCTCAAGCACCTCATCCATTAAATCACTCCATATCCTACCGAGCCACTTCAATCTCCTTCGCCTCGGCCTTCTCCTTTTCATCCAAAAACTCCTCCGCCACCGGATTAGCATGACTAACCACCGCATCCTTCCCATCAAACAGCAGCGCGATCTGTTCCAGACTCGGTCCTTTGGTCTGTAAATATACCAGTATTAGCCGCTCCACGATGTCGAACAAGAGCATGTGCATATATATATATATAAAGGGAGGGACGTGAAAGGAACAAAATGAACACCAACCTCAATAAAGAAGAAATACACCACCACAAACTCAACGATAATCCACCCCACATAGAAGAAATAATACTTCCATGCGAAGGCATCGATCCCCAGTGGATTCACATACGTGTTGAAGGCCCCTGTGGCGCCGGTGACGAGCCAGAAAAGAGCGATGCCTTTGGCGCGGATGGAGTAGGGGAGGATTTCGACGACTGCATTTGTTAGTTCATTATTGCATTAACCATTAATGTTTGTCTAAGTGAGATACTGTGGCTTGGGATAGGTACTAACCGTAGAGCATCATCGCGCCTGTCCAACCTAGATTATGCACTCCGTTGTATATATAGATGAAAGCGACAGTGGCGTACGATGCAGACTGACTACCTGTTTCGACGAACACGCCCGTGCAAATCGTGATGAGTGCAAAGACGAGCCAGATGAGTCCCATGGACCAGAGCAGGAGAGGTCTTCGTCCAACTCGGCCGGGAAGGAAGGCAAAGGCTAGTGCACAGGCGAAACTGAACATTTGGCTTGTTGCGGTGATCAGGGTCGTGTCGACTTCGGCAGTTATTCCGGCGGATTTGAGCATGCTGCTGAGGTAGTAGCTTATCAGGCCGTTACCGGACCATTGTTTGCAGATTCCTGGTGGTTTCTCGCATTAGGTGGTGGTGGTGGTGGGATTGGGGTAGAGGGACTCACCACACCATATGAGGATGAATGAGCGCCATCTGTTTCCACGGGTGTTGATGAGCTCTTTCCAGGATGTCTTCTTGGCGGCGATCTCGAGTTCGATGGTCTCTTTCATTTCTTGGTATTCCTGTTGCACTACGATGTCCTGGGCGTCGCCGTTGCCGTGGTATTTGGCTAGGATGGCAAGGGCGGCTTGTTCGCGGCCGCGGCTGATGAGCCAGCGGGGGGATCTATCGTTGTTAGCCATGAGTGGGATGAGGACTTGTTATGGCTTACTCTGGGAGAATGAATGCTCCAATTAGTTGGATTATTGATGGAAGCGCTTGAAAGACGGTGGGAATGCGCCATGCCCTATCTTTGATGAGGATGAGGAAGTATGGTCTCGGACAGTTGGGCATACCATGCACTTGCAAGTCGGAATGATCCAAATGTAATCCACGCCGCGATGATAGATCCAGCACTGTACGTAGTGTTCGACATGGAAGTTGCTGTCGCTCGATGATCTGGGTAGGCTAGTTCACCCATCCATACTGGCCCGATCGCAGCAACTACCACACCCCCCATGCCTAGAAGCAAGCGAGCTGCGATGAAGAGACCTGCACTGGATGCACCAGTAGCCATTCCTGTCCCAGCAAGGCATAGGATGGCACCAAAAAACAGGCAGTATCTGCGGCCGAGCCTGTCGGATATGAAGGAGATGAAGACAACGCCGACGATATTCCCTGTACTTGTAGTTAGACCAAGAACGAGATGGTCAAGATCAGTGTAGTGTATCACCTATCCAGTACATAGCGCTCATAGCTCCCAGAAGGCTACCATGAGGGTGATTGAAATCTGTACCACATGGTCAATCAACGGACTAATGCAGATACAATACTTGGCATACCCTCCTGCCAAACACTCAGCTCTTGCACATTATTGATCAAGGAAGCATCGTAGCCTTGAGTAAACTCGCTAAACATGAGAAAGAACAGCATTAAGTTCAGCTTTCTTAGGCCGGTGTCCTTCCACCATGGCCCTTGCTTGTTGCTCACCACCGTCGTGTCCTCCAGCGCTCTGCGGTCGATGGGCTTCCGCGCACTTACTGCCATGATGAAGTCGGGTTGGTCAATGATGGTCCCTAATACTGCCACCAACTCCCATCAAGAAGATATATACGAAGTTTGTAGCAGACCCTATGGGATGCGATGTCTAATCAAGACAAGCTTGCCCAGGCTATTATCTGGGGCCAAAACCTGGGGGAACTGCGGGGCTGATCGTGCAGATCTCTCCCCCAGGTTGCATGAGAGGTTCGGCCTAAAGCAATCCGAGGCGGCTGGAAAACACCATGCGAGCAGCTCAGACAGCTGGTGGCGATCTCCTGATTCTCCTGTTGGTGGAAAATGTATTCCTAGTGCGAGTGACTGCGTCGCCACGAGCAAGGGCTGACATGAAATTGACTTTCGGGTTAAGGCTTCCACTAGGATTGCTGCTACTAATTATTACTGCTTCTCTTGCTTTTCGAGACTTATCACATGCTCTTCATTGTGCCAAGTAATTGACGTCGAATTGTAGCACGGCCACCTTCCTTTTACCTTCCTCATTGTCTCTCAATATGAGAATGGACAGAAGCCCAAATTTAGTAAAGGCTTCTTCGTCGATCAGCGGCTCTCCACTGTATCCATGTTCTCTCCATACTATACTTATTTCACCATGTATACCAGTCATACTCCTCCGCGCAATCAACAGTTCACTCTCCGTATTCGACGGAAGTATGAAGAAGACAGCATTGAGCTTCTCGCTATGGACAAGTTTGCCCCGAGGTCCGGTAGGCGTAGGGTATATGTCAGGTAATGCGAAGAAATTCCACTGATTGTCCGATGGGGAGCGGTAGTAGTGCATCCATGTTTCCTTTCCGGTGGTGTTCTCTCGGTTCAATACATGAACCCCTCCCTCGGAGTCAACGTACTGTGCCTCCTGATTCATGATACCGTTGTTTCTAGGGATATCCCTGACGAGTAGCCGGCTATCTTGGGACTCGAGTCCGGTCCCTAGACGTGCTGACAAGATAGCCACTGACTTTTGGTTTGACCCGCTCCATGTAGTGCCATTATCCCGACTATATGCATAATATAGCCCTTCGTTATTCTCGGGGCCATTAGGCCCAGCTTGCGCTTTGTGGGCTGTGGAAGCACGGTCGTCCGCTCCTTCATACTCGATAAAGTGTCGGTTAGTCCAAGTAACGTGAAGACTATCCGTTGATAGATGATAAGATATCCCATTTGGATACGGGTTACACTGTCTTCCAATTAGATAGGTTCCCAGTTGGACGAATTGCGCAGTGTCGGGACTGTAGCGATATAGGACATCGGAGCCGGCACCTGCTCTACGGGCTGATCGTCAGATTCTGCTTCTCCTAGGTTTTGCGCATTACATACTTTCCAATGCGACACTCGAAGTACAGGTCTCTTCTAGCAGGTATAAATCGTGGATATGTAACGTCCAACAGACCGTCGCAGCCGGGTAGATGATCTAGAATCGGGCTGAAGTTGCTTGCCGTCCAACTCGACTCGCTTGGGTCGGCTGCCAGACCTGGTCGCGAGATGCGATATTTCAGTGCATCGCAGTGGTGATCAAACGACACATGAATCGTTCCATCACCAGCACAGATCCCGATGGATATGGTATTATGTCCGTCATCGGTCGTCTGGTTGTAATCTTCGAAAGTCAAGTATTGCCAGTCGGATGAAGGGTCCCGAACATCATGGCGTGCAATCGTAACCCTTCTAGAGTCCGATCCTTCCCACGAGGTATAAAAGGCCACATACTGGATGCTGTCCGAAGTTGTGATTGCTGACTGCTGATAGGCACAGGCGTTTAGGCGGTGCGTGGTATTGGGGTCGACCCCAAGAGTAGTAATTGACGGAATAGTCATGATCTATTCAGTAGTAGCAAACACCTCTCGAGAATTCTGGCTCGGGTGATATGCGGACTCTTCGATGGGGTAGACTCTCAGCTAGAGAACTAGGCGATTTCTCGAGGCACGTGGACTAGCCTGATCGGGATCGAGAAAAGACTGCGGCAGAGCATTTTCCCTCCCAGCATATCTTCCCCTTCTCATATCGCTCTTGCACAACACAATTAAGAACATGTCCTTTAGCTGGTCGCCAGTCCAGCTGATGTTTGGTGGAAGAACTCCTGATCCATTCGTCACTGCCCCGCCCCCGCAATGACAGCGATCTCCGCCGGTGTCCATCGATGGCCGGCCATTCACCGGTCGTCTTGAATAAACTCTGACGATGTTTGATCGCCCCCTCACCTTAATTTATCCGAGCTGACTCCATAATAACCGATGGCACCTCCGGCGGATGTATGGGTTCGAGGAATCGATTCGGTTGACTGCGGAAATTGAAATACGGAGTTTCTGGAGACCGTTGAGCAAGTACTCCCTTGCTAAGAGCATAGATAAGATCGCGTTATGTACAGTTCAATTGGGATCTCAGTCATTTCTGGCATCAGAATGAATGCTCTCATTGCTCCAGCTCTTCTGCTGGTTGCTGGGAGCGGAGTCAATGGCCTCGGTTTTGAAATCCCATCGTCAGCTCCAGCGAACTCCAGTGGTCAGCTAGACGCTGCTCCTGTGGGCGTTTCGTACGTCAACATGATTTACTGCAAGATATCTAATTCCTGACTATAATAAGGTTCGAGTTTTTTGCCTTCCCAGAATACTTCCAGCAACTATCCTTGACAAATTCTTGTTTGGGGCAACTGCACGATGCAGCGGGATCTTACTCGCCCATTCGAATCGGAGGCACAACGCAGTGAGATAACCGCGGCGTCTTCGTACTGCAAGCTATCTTACTAAGTCTTCTACAAGGGATCGCGCGACCTACAATGCCTCTTTATCGTCAGCAGTCTCATACAGCGTTGATTCGCCGGATGATGCACCAGAGTCACTCACATTCGGTGACTCATTCATGGAAATAGCTGGTTCTTATGAAGGATCAGTGACCATTGGTATGCCATCGATAGAAAACATCATTTATTCGCGAGTTCCCTTACCAGGCTCATAGCAAGAATGCTAAGACACGCTCAGGGCTCAATAGACGGCTGGACAATATCGACAATACAATCGCCGCAGCAAAGATTGCCAAATCAAATATTGCTACTCTTTATGCTATTGAGCTTGGAAACGAACCAAACTGTACGTTCACAGTATGTGCTTACTTTCGGAACAGGCGCGCTAATTCTTGCCAGTCTTCACTTCAAGTGATCCAATCGCGGATGGCCAGTCATGGACGGCTGCAGCTGATGCAGCTTCGCAGGTCTCGTGGCAAGCATCTGTAGGCAGTGCTTTGGACGAAACGTCATTCGCCCAAGCTGGTGTCTTCTTCGGAGTGGGGACATTCAATGTGAGCAATTTAGCCCAGAAAGAGGAAGAAGCCGATACCACCCAATACGTGCGCTCTTTCTGCCACCATTACTATCCGCAATCAGCGTCTACCGCGGACCTAGATGAATTGATGAGCCATACCGAGATAGTGGAGGGAGTGTCAGAGTTTCAGAGCCAAATAGTGGCTGCACAGGAGCTCGACAAAGACTTTGTCATGGGAGAAACAAACTCGGGTATGTTTCGCCCAGCACGTGCCTAACCAGATGCTAAATAACGCCAGCGACCGGTGGAGGTGGTGGTATTAGCCCTACCTTCGGTGCCGGGCTTTGGATCCTGGACTATGTCATGCAAGCCACCATTCTAGGTGTTAAAGTAGGCCTACCCGCCATCAGCTCCAGATCTAGAACGAATCTTTTTGATCTGACTTTGACAGCAATTATTCTTCCACCAAGGAACAATTGGTAACTGTACGTATCTCATGTTTTTGCTTATGTCTGGTTAAGTTAATCCATGGTACAAGGCCCGTATTGTTGGTGGGACGAATCGGTGAATGCGCCATTCTACGGCGCCTATACGGCCGCCCTTGCCCTCTCTGGTGCCTCCAAAGTCGCCCAGCTAGACACCGGGAACAGCCGGTTCGCAGCATACGCCTTCTACGATAGCAGTAACCAGCCCATCCGTGTATTGCTGTACAACTCGGAGTATTACACCTCAGGGACACGGAGCAGCGTGAGCGTGACACTGAGTGGCATTCCTTCGACATCCACTTCCGTATCCGCGTTGCGATTAACTGGAGATGCCGCAACAACGACCGTCGGGGAGGGGGCGATCACCGTCGGAGGACAGACTTTTGCGAACGCGACATGCGAGTTACAAGGCACAAAGGATATGGAGACGACACAAGCAACAGCAGGACGGGTGACATTCACTGTCCAGGCATCCGAGGCGTTGCTTATATATGTGTAATCTGAAAGAAGCACAAGCAGCGTTAGGCCCGGTCGTATCAGATAAGATTGGAATGCACGGGACAAACCAAGCTGGGCCTGCTAGGGGTAATCCCGGGTCTAGCCAGTTCCCTTAAAAATATAGCCGGAATTCCGCTTGGCTCGGCTCAGCCGAGATATGATCGGGTCTACCGTTCTGCCAGTCACCTCACCGCCCACTTCAGACCACGCCGAGTCTCATAATGATCAAGCGTCTTGATTTATGAAAGTCCATGTTTTAAGCATGAGAATATGCACTTTTTATAAGGTAGAAGACCGTGGTCAAATTAGAAAAGGGTTGTTCCCATTGTTCGCGTTAGACCATGCATGCCGAGCTGTAAGCCCGAGAACGAACTTTTTACACTTTCGCGCTCCGAAAAGGCGAACTCTGGTCTCGGAGTTCGATCATTACCCTATTTGGATAATTTCCCGGGTTCGCCGTTGCCGACTTTTGATAGCGATCAGTGAGCCACCGGTGGAAAATGGTTGCGATGGGTACCAGGCTGATCATGGACTCTTTTAAATCTGCCCATCGCGCCTCTAGGCCTCCTTGGCGTCGGATGGCATCATATTCTTATCTGTTGTGGTTTTCCCTCTTTCCTTCGCTACCCTTACCATTCCTCCTCACACGTCGGCCTTACGTCCTTGTACTCGGGCCACAGTATGAGCTCAGACAAAGTCCAGATGGCCGAGGCTGGCGACAAGGCTGAGGCCCCTCCTGCGGCCGTCTCTTTCTTTGATCCTGCACTTAAAGCTGCTCGTCGCAGCGTGTTCTTCCAGTGGGGCCGGACAGGTTGGTGCTAAACCCTTAAATTATGAGTATCCCTCCTCTAATTGTTAATCTACAGTTTTACTACTCTGTGTCTTCATCCTTTGCATTTTATCCCTGTTCTGGGCCGTACAATTTCAGGCGGAGTCCCGGTTTCCTGCTCTAACTGTTTGGGTTGTCGACTTTGATGGCCAGCTGGAGCCCTACCGAAATGAGACTCCAATCGTGGGCCCTGCCGTGACTGATGTCGTGAGCCAAATACTTGACTCGAGCAGCGAGCATCTGGGTTACACGATTAAGTCTCCTGCAGAGTTCAACAATGACCCCTGGGCTGTGCGCCAGTCGGTGTACGACGAGCACGCTTATGCGGCTGTTATTGTCAACTCTAATGCCACTGCTCTTCTTCGCAACGCTGTCACTAATGGGAACTCGTCTTATGACCCCTACGGTGCGGCGGAATTCATCACGATCAGTGCACGCGATCCGACCACATATTACAACTACATCATCCCCTTTTTATCCGATCTAGACTTGGCCGTCCGGTCGTACTTCGGACCGCGCTGGATACAGACCGTCGCGCAGGAAGGGTACAATATCAGCAAAGTGCCACAGGCCATCAACCCGGCAATTGGATTCACCTCCATTGACCTTCGACCCTTCGCGCCCGCCGTCATCACTCCGGCCGTGAGCATCGGTCTCATCTATCTGATCATTCTTGCCTTCTTCAACACCCCGTTCATGATGCCCATACACATTCAGTTCATCAAAGGCAACCATCCTCCGCTGAAAATCCCACAGTGGCTCCTATGGCGCATTCTGTCCAACATCGGCACATACTTCTTCCTATCGCTCTTCTACTCTTTCGTGTCACTGGCCTTCCAGATCCCGTTTAACAACCCCTCCGCACCTGACACTCAGTCCGCCAACAATCCCAATGCCTATGGCCATGGGTCTTTCGTTGTCTACTGGATGTTGAATTGGGTTGGAATGTGTGCCCTCGGTTTCCCATGTGAGAACATGGCGATGATTATCGGTCTCCCTTGGAGTGCGCTCTTCCTCATCTTCTGGGTCATCACCAATGTGGCCACTGGCTTCTATGCTTTGGATTTGGCTCCAGGTTTCTTCAGATGGGGTTACGCCTGGCCTCTTCACAGAAGTAAGTTGATCCCTCATCTATCCCAGTTAACCAAGCTAATATATGGTAGTCGTCGAGGCACTCCGCACTATTCTCTTCGATACCCATTCTCGCATCGGGCTTGACTTCGGTGTCCTTTTCGCCTGGATCGCATTCTCGATCTGTTTGTTCCCATTCGCTGCAGCGTTTATGAACTGGAAGGTCAAGCGGGGTTGGGCGTGAAAGGCTCATACGCTGGCCCCCGCCATCAAAAGCAATAGACTCTTTCGGTGTTGTTTGGCGAGCATACATAGTGGTTCTAGATTTCGGCATGGTATCTAGCTTCTAATACGGTCCGCGGGAATAATGTGGGTGAGGGTCATTATTGGGGGCATTTCGCTTCTTGGATATACTTTTTACTATGCATTATAGACACTTATAGATCCATCATAGATATATCTTTCAGTTCAATGCATGTCATAATAATAAGTTGCTATGCTTGGCTGGATTATCTGTTGCTACACACCTACACATCAAGGGGTTGGGTTGCATTGACGAAACGATACTCCGCTCCGCAAATATTCAATTGTTCTTTCATCCTCTGCCACGACCCCCCAGTGACAATGAAGAAAAGGAAAACGTAATTGAAGGGGGGGAAAAATTACTTATTAGCTGTAGTACCTCAATAGGAATAATCGTTGAAGTCACGTGTTTTAAGTGTACGGAAATCCAAAAAGAAATGTCCCGAGGGAGGTTCGAACTCCCGGCCTTGGGATCGCATGGAAGTTATGCTTCCACGTCATACTGTAGTATGAGACCCACGTGATAACCAACTACACCATCGAGACAAGTTGTTGAAAGCTGCACCAACTATTTGGTTTATATCCCGCGCATGCTGGCCCAGAAGAGAGATTTTGTATGACTGGCTTGGGGTGTGGGTTTTTGTTGTTTTTGGTGGTTTGTGTTTAGTAAATGGCTTCAGTATGTTCAATTGCTTATGTATATGTGGGAATATGTTGTATTTTGGTATTTCGTATGAATTCTGGTTGGTCGTGGAAATCATGCCTCGTATCGGTTACTACTATATATATAGTTGTGCTACCACCGTACTATGATACTTCCATATCACAAAATTAATGGCAAGAATGTGAGGAACTTGAAACTTCAATCGACTACTACCCCGAGACATGATTAGTCCAAATGGTCAGGGTAATGAATTTCATGCTATTACCAATACTCTGCCACAATGCCCATATGATCCGGGCTCGTTCTCTCCCGGGTGCATATTGTCCTTTTTTCTGAGAAGGTCGTGAAGGAGCCTTTATCCCTTTATTGTGCACCATTAACCCTGCATATGGAAGAAAACACCCTGGCAGAAATTCGTTTCAGACGTCAAGGGAGCCATATCGCCCAGTGCGGGGTTAAAGGATGACACCAACTTTCTTCGATAGAGACAACAAATATGTGATAACGATCTTTCCCGTGCGCCACTGTTTCGCTAGTGCTTATCATTGTCGGGCGACCAACAGTTACACCATCAAGGCTACCATATTATCGAATCCTGCGGCTTACCCCCATTATCCTGTCCTCACGTGGCTTCTCTAAAGGGGTCGTCGTATTCGACTGTACGACAATAAGCATTGTTTCCGGAGCTACCAACTAGGGCCAAGCTATCAGCAGCCCCCCAACCTCGATAAAGCACCATAACAGCCAAGCGAGGGGGGCTGGTCAATTGATTACCACCGGAAATTTCTCACTATTTTCCACATCCCTAGGATTGAGTGGCGGAAGCCGAGGACGGCCGTCATAATGTGAACGGACTAGTAAGCATGGTTTCTCAGGCGTCCAATGTGAGCGTGTACCTAAACCCGCACAGCGGCATGACGTCTCCGCGCTAGCAAACAACAACTTCTCCAACGGCCCATATCCAGAGACTGGTGGACATGTCACAGAAGTATCTCGGTTATCGCACCATAGACCCTCGGCGATGGCGGTGCGATCGCACTACTACATATACTGACTGTTGCCCTCTCATTGACATCCCAAAGACTCTCCCAGCTATCTCATCCTAGCCTTTTACTGCCTACCACACATATTTCTCCCTAGAATTAACATAGAAATGGCGCACAGTGCGAATTCCCCAGACACCCGCCCTGCTAGATATGACATCCTCATAATAGGAGCTGGGTTTTCTGGAATATTCATGTTATATCACCTTCGCAAGCTAGGCTATTCATGCCGGATTTACGAAACAGGGACAGAGTTAGGAGGGACGTGGGCAAATCATATCTATCCAGGTGTGAGGGTCGACTCGGAAAGCTGGATTTATCAGCTGTCTATGCCGGAGGTCTGGGAGGATTGGTCTTGGAGCGAAGTTTACCCCTCCGGCCAGGAGCTGCGTCGGTATTTTGTCCATGTCGATAAGAAGCTTCATATTAAAAAAGATGTGGACTTCCAGACCAAGGTTGTGAAGGCACAGTTCGTCCGAGGTAAAAGCTGTTGGCGCACTGAAACGGAGGATGGTCGAGTCACTGAATCTCAATTCCTCCTACCATGTACAGGACTTGCATCGAAGAGCTACACGCCTGATTTTCCTGGGATAGAGAGTTTCAAGGGCGAGATCTATCACTCCGAATACTGGCCAGAGGAGAGCATCAATATTCAAGGGAAGAAAGTGGCAGTGATAGGAACAGGCTCAGCAGGAATTCAGATCATCCAAGAGTGGGCAAAAGAAGCAGGCACTTTGACGGTTTTTCAGAGAACACCCAACCTGGCTTTGCCCATGCGACAGCTTCAACTTCCCCAGGAGCAGGAGGTTATCAGGTCCATGTATCCGCACGTCTTTCGGGACCGTGGTCAAACCTTTGCGGGCTACGTAGCAACGCAAGTACCCAAACGGACATTTGACGTTTCACCCGAGGAGCGTGAAGCGTCTTATGAATATGCATGGAAAAAGGGCGGGTTTAATTACATTCTTGGAACATATATTGATAACTTGACCGATCTACAAGCAAACCGTGCCTTGTACGACTTCTGGGCTCAAAAGACGCGTTCGAGAATCCACGACCCCAGAAAGCGGGACCTCCTGGCACCGTTGGATCCACCACATCCCATTGGAGCGAAACGAACGGCACTGGAATTGAATTACTACGAAGTATTCAACCAGCCGAACGTCCACCTAGTCAATGTGCGCGAGGAGAAAATTGTTGAATTCCGGCCCCACGGTATTGTCACAAGCAGTGGAGCCTACCATGAGCTTAACGCGGTCGCATTGGCAACTGGGTTTGATGGTTTGACAGGAAGCTTGACCAACTTAGGTCTTCGAAACACGGAGGGCATATCTCTGAAGGAAGAATGGAAGGATGGAGCAAAAACATACTTGGGTTTGACGCTTAGCGGATACCCCAATCTGTTCTACATGTGCGGAGTGCATGGACCGAGCGCACTTAGCAATGTACCCTCGACTATTGAAGTACAGGGCCAGATTATCATCGATACAATCCAGAGAATGCGGGCCAATCGACTGGCATCTATCGAGGCTACACCGGAGGCAGCAGACTCATGGACGAAATGGGCGGATGAAATCGCTAACGCGACACTGTTTACTCGGGCGGACTCTTGGTATATGGGCGCCAATATACCGGGGAAGAAGCGGCAGATGCTTAATTTTTGTGGTGGGATACCGGCATACAAACAGGCTTGTACAGAGGCTCTGGAGAATTGGAAGGGGTTCAAGACTGTACAGATGGCGAATCTCTGAAATTTGGGACGACTCCATGCGGAAATCATGACGAGTGAAAGAGAGATCGACTGTCTTCCGCGAGTCAGCGCAGGCTGTCAACCTTTTCCCAAACGCTTTGAAAATACGAGTGGCAGAACTTGGTCTCCCCAGAAAATACAGAAAATCTTGCCTTGCCCTAGTTGGGAGATGGGGAACTCTCCCGAGAAACTTTCTATTGGGAGATTGGCAATAAGATAGTACCAACCAAAGACATATTCGAAGGACCAAGAATTTGGCACTGTTAATCATCGATTGAATGGTTCCGCAGGAAAAACATGGGTCCCTCAAGTGTATCTTGCGGGCTGATCATCCGAGACATCGTGTGATGTTTCTAGGACCTACCGTGCAAGGAGTCTATAGTGGTGAGAAAAAGAGATTACAGGCCACGAAGCTATTTCCTCGGAGGAAGGACTGTTGAGGCATTTCCCGAATCAAAAGGGCTAGGAACATTAGAACATATCGTGCGGCTGACTCGCTCCATTGACCCATTTGTGTGATAGACTGCTAGTCAATTAATCAGCTAATTAGGTAGCTAGTTACCTAGTTAAAAGTTCCACTAGACCGAGAGCTGGATTTGTTTGCTTTTTCTATTTTTATTTTCTTTTTTTTTTTCTTCTTCCCCCATCCCAGCCCATTTCTCCAATTGAAACAATGGCCTTGTCGGGGCGTGGCCTGAGGTTTCTGCAGGCCTCCCATGTCCGACCACGTGTACTTCCAGAAGCATCTCCTCTTTCCTTCCTCTTCCTCTGTACCTCAATAGGTTAACAATCAGAAACCTCTCTCCACACCGAACACACATATTGTATTCTAGTTCGCGACCTGCACTGTACAACAAACAGAATTTTCGGTGTGCAGCCTCGAATTAAAGCAATAACTGGCCCACTGGTTTGGAATGACCTGCAACTACTTGTACGCTATGTCCATATCGCGATCAAGCATCTTCGAAAGAGCTTATTAAGTTAACTGGGGCCGCTGTCACTGAAATTTTGCCTTGATTGGTAGCTTTCAGGTAAATCGGTGGATCGTGTCGTTCAGCCTTATGAAGCGATATTAATCTATTAGAAATAACCCTCATAACAGCAACCTTCGGATTTACATGCCCGAAATCCAAATTGGGGATATAGGTGGAAATAGACATGGTCTTTTTGACCCCGGTCGATGTGGCTGACTGACGATAAGCTGCAAAAGAAATATGGAACTAGCAGGGGTTTAAATCAACTCATACCGACATTAGAAATCATCAGAACCCAGCGGAAGCCAAAGATATCCAGCCAAATGCGACGATCTCTTTCCCAGATGCACGAGGTCCACCTGAGCTACTACACCCCTTTTTGGCAGTATCTCCGAAATTCTCCAGCACGCTCTCACAAGTATCCCCCGGAATACGCCAGTCTTTCTAGCCTGCACGTTTAAAAGCTAACCGCTGCACGCAGGATGGAGTGTGCAGCTCCAGCAATGCAGAATACGAATTGTCCGGTTTGCCAGAAGAACAGGCTAATTCTAAATCCAAGCCAAGATGAGGAAATAAACGTATACCGAATAAAAAGATATCTATTACACCATAGGCAAGATATATCCAATAGGCATCCATTTTATAAGCGCCATCCCTTCAGATACTACGTCACATTATTCCATTTAATACGGAAACCATTTTGTTCGTCCTTCGACAAATACGACATGCACCCTGAGATGTATTAGCCCAAGGCTGCTAGCGCCTTTCATCAACAAAAAGTAAGATGGGAATCGTCCCGTCATTTAGGATTGTGGGAATAACTATTGACACACTTATGCAGCCACCCTGGGTCTCAGTTGCGGTGTGCAATGACATTGCAGTACCATGACAAGCCTCCTACACCCGTCACCCCAGCTGAAACGGAAGCCGAGTCAAGTGTTCAGGCCGCGTTCTCCGAAACTCATCACGCAGTAGCCGCTGCATTACCGATCCTGTGAATTTTTACCATGACCATAGAAAAGCTTAGTCTAATTGACTGAAGATACCAGCATAAGAGATCATTGGATAGATGTAGCCTGCCCAATAATTGATTTGCGGCAGGTATATTGCCTGCG